CAGAGTGAGACTCCAACTCAAAAAAAAAAAAAAATTAGCCGGGGGTGGTAGCACGCGCCTGTAATTCTGACTACTTGGAAGGCTGAGGCGGAAGGATCGCCTGAGCCCATCAGGCCGAAGCTGGGGTGGCCATGAGTATGCCACTGCACTCCAGCCTGGGTGACAGAGTGAGACTCCAACTCAAAAACAAGCAAACAAACAAAAAAAAGGAGTAAAAATCACCCTGGGATCTTGTTAAAATTCAGGTTCTAATTCAGTAGGTCTGGAATGAGACATAAGATTTTGCATTTCCAATAAACTCCCAGGGTGTGCCAGAACTGCTTGGTCCACGGGCCACACTTTGAGTGCAAGGCTGTCAAGGGCAGAAAGGAACTTTTCCATCCCTGAAAAAGCATCCATGATTTTCCATCTCCACTTGGGGTGTGGCCCTGGAGGTGAGATGGGGGAAGAGGACTTCATCATTGCTAGTGGATGAAGAATCAAGTGAGAGTAAGTTCAAAGGAAGAAAGGGAACATTGAGCTCACGCACAAGAGGCTCCCACTCTGATGAGGTGCTATTATTATACCCATCTTACAGAAAAGGGAACTAAGATGTAGTGTCCGTGCCACAGAGAAGGGAGCTCCAGCTGAGGAGGTGCCAGGGAAGGAGCTGTTTTTCCAAATCTCCTGGGACCAGATGATGCAGTTTCTGAATCCAGTCTTGGTTCTAAAACATAGGGAAGAGTGTGACTTGGGGCATGGGGGAGGCCCAGAATATGTCTTGCCATGCAGCTAGAGAGCATTTTGGAAGTAGGTGCTAGCTGTTTCCATAACAGAAGCCTCCAGATGTCACTGGTGTACTAAGTAGCTGGGATGGTACAAGTGCTTTCTTCTGGTTAAATCCTCATTTTGTCTTCTGTAAAATGGAGGTGTAAGATCTCTTCCAGCTTTGGATTGTTTGCTCCTCTCCCAGAAAGGAAGCACTGGGGGTAAGGAGTAAGACCCAACAGGATATGACTGCAAGGTTTCTGTCCCCAGGAGAACAGTCACCAGGTGAAGGAAGAGCTGAGTCAGAAATTTGACACACTGTACGCCATCCTGGACGAGAAGAAAAGTGAGTTGCTGCAGCAGATCACGCAGGAGCAGGAGGAGAAGCTCAGCTTCATCGAGGCTCTCATCCAGCAGTATCAGGAACAGCTCGACAAGTCCACTAAGCTGGTGGAGACGGCCATCCAATCCCTGGACGAACCTGGGGGGGCCACCTTTCTCTTGGTAAGCAAGACTAGGAGGGTCTGGGCAGGGTCATTTCAACTCCACAGTCCTAAGGTTCAAGTTGTGCCCCTTGAACCCATGGGCCCATAGACAAGTCATTTGAACCTCAATGGGCTTCAGCTTCCCCATCTGAAAAATGGACATGTAACAATCTTTACCTTCCATTTCCTCAAGAGTATCAAATAAGATGTTTGTGGAACAGCTTTGTAAGCTATAAATAGCATAAAGATTATTAACTGAGCACCTACTGTAGGCCAGGCACAGAGTGGAGACACAGAGATGACCCAGACATAGACTTGCCCTACAAGAGCTTGTTGGGGAGGACAGAAAAGGCTTAGCTATAAAACTTCACAGTCCAGGCCAGGCACGGTGGCTCAATCCTGTAATCCCAGCACTTTGGGAGGTCGAAGTGAGATGATCACCTGAGCTCAGAGGTTCAAGAGTAGCCTGGGCAACTTGGCAAGTTCGCGTCTCTACAATAAATTTTAAAAATCACCTGGGCATGGTAGCACGCACCTGTAATTCCAGGTACTTGGAGGGCTAAGGTGGAAGGATTGCCTGAATCCAGCAAGTCAAGGCTGTGGTGGCTGTGAGCAGTGTGCCACTGCACTCCCGTCTGGGTGACAGAGTGAGACTCCTATTCAAAAAAAAAAAAGCTTCACAGTTCAGTTCAATAAAAATTTCCTAACCTAAGCTCCTACTGTGGGCCAGGATTTGTACTAGACATTGGATATGGAAAGGTGATTAGGATATGATTCTCAGCTTGGAAATTCAGGGTTTAGGAGTGTTTAGACGGATATCCCCAGAATCCAAACTTTCTGTCAGGGCAATGAGAGGGTCCTAGAGTGATGACCAAGATCTGTGCAGATCATGGACAGAAGGAAAATATCCAAACTGAAGCCAAGCATGGTGGCTCATGCTTGCAACAGTTTGGGAGGTGGAGGCAAAAGGATTGCCTGAGTCTATGGGTTTGAAACCAGCCTGGGCAACTTGGTGAGACCTCATCTCTACAATAAATCAAAAAATAAACCAAGCGTGGTAACGCGTGCCTGTAGTTCCAGTTACTTGGAAGGTGAAGGGGGAAGATTACCTAAGCCTAGCAGGTCGAGGCTGAGGTGGCTGTGAATGTGCCACTGCACTCCAGCCTGGGCAACAGAGTGAGAGTCTGACTCAAAAAAAAAAAAAAAAAAAAAGACACAAGTTGTCCAAAGAAACCTTGCAGCTCAAGGGGAGTAGGGTACAAGTGGGCTGGAGAATGGCGCCAAGATTCCATCTGCAACACCCAGTCACTAGTTTTGCTGATTTTCTGGAGTTACCTCTTCTGCAATCCTAACTCTTTGTTCTCTCTGCCCCAACAGAGTGCCAAGCAACTCATCAAAAGGTCAGTGTCTTCCCAGGGGCTATGACCCAAGCTTCTAGTTCCCACTGGGTCAATAACCCCCCACGTCCCCCTGTCTCCCATGGGCATTAGGTCTGTCGGGAGGGTCTCAACTCAGGCTGGCTTTCCTGACTTTTGCATTCCCTGCTTTCTTGAACTAAATACCCATTCTGCTTGATCCTGGAGAGGAAATATTCCCCTCCTCCAGGGAGCCTCTAGGTAGAAGGTCTGGGTGTGGGCTTGGCATGTGTGCTCCCCTCTCTGCACTGAGCCCAGAGATCTCACCCTGCCTCTCTCTCCCACAGCATTGTGGAAGCTTCCAAGGGCTGCCAGCTAGGGAAGACAGAGCAAGGCTTTGAAAACATGGACTACTTTACTTTGAACCTAGAACACATCGCAGACGCCCTGAGGGCCATCAACTTTGGGACAGGTAAAGGAGGTGGTGGTACCACTTGACTATTTATTTGTCTGTCCCCTGAAAACCAGCATTCCTCCTACTGAGTCCCACAGGGAGGCAGATACACTAACAAAGATACCCAGATATAAGGTCTAACTCAAACAGCCAACTTCTAGATGAACCCACAGCCCAGCACAGTGCCTGGTGCAGAATTGTTGCTCAATACATTCGTATAAGAATTATGGCAGAGCCGGACACGGTGGCTCACGCCTGTAACCCCAGCACTTTGGGAGTCTGAGGTGAGAGGTTTGCCTGAGTCCACAGGTTTGAGACCAGCCTGGGCAACTTGACGAGACCTTGTCTCTACAATAAATCCAAAAAATTAGCTGGGCATCGTGGTGCACACCTGTAGTTCCAGCTACTTGGAAGGCTGGGACAGAAGGATCACCTGAACCCACCAAGTCGAGGCTGCAGTGACTCTGAGCATGCCACGGCCATTCAGTTTGGGCGACAGAATGAGATTCCTACTAAAAAAAAAAAAAAAAAAAATAGGAAGTGGGCCCTCTGATAATTATCACCTCATGGTGCAGTTGCAACAAATCAGATATTGATGTAGAGAGGCTCTATAGAACATATACTAGTTATTGCCTAAAGGTAGACTTTACCTTAAGCTTTCTAATGCTATCATCTATGATACTCAGACACCTTAATTTATCAATGTTGTATCCTCATCTATTTATAACTACTCTTCCATTGAGTGCCTATAATAATTGTAACAATGCAACTATGACAACAATGTGAAAAATAAGAAGGGAAAATAAACCATCCTGTAGAGTTTCTGATGTATTCTCCAATTGCAGTGGCTGTAGTTTGAACCAGATATTCAAGTGAACTTTTTGTAAAGTCCACACATCAGCAAGCAGGCATGAGGTTGTTTTAGTTTACAGAGATTTAAGAAAAGAACAGTTTTGCGGGGTATGGTGGCTCACGCCTATAATCCTAGCACTTTGGGCGGTGGAGGCAAGAGGATTTCCTGAGTTCGGGAGTTTGAGACCAGCCTGGGCAACTTGGCGAGACCTCTACAATAATTTTTTTTAAAAATTGCTGGGTGTGGTGGCCCACGCCTGTAATTCCAGCTACTTGGAAGGCTGAGGCAGAAGGATCGCCTGAACCCAGCAGGTCAAGGCTGCAGTGACCATGAGCATGCCACTGCTCTCCTGCCTGGGTGACAGAGTGAGAAGTCAACTAAAAACAAAACAAAACAAAGGTATCTTATATCCCTGCAAAGTCTCTTGGGAACTCCCCACTTCAGGAGCCTTGTAAGACACTAATCTATCCATAGTGCAGAGTTGGAACTATAGACGCAGGCCACCATGCCAGGCTAGTTTTTGTGATTTATTGTAGAGAGGAGGTCTCACCAAATTGCCCAGTCTGGTCTTGAACCCCTGAGTTCAGGCAATCCTTTTGCTTCCATCTCCCAAAGTGCTGGGATTACAGGTTTGATCCTCTGGGCCTGGCTGATACCTTGATTTTTTTTAAAATTTGTTATATGATGCTATGCCAGAGTCAGGTTGGAAAACAAACTTTAGTATTGTTAGGTTACACTCCCAGCAGGGAATCTCCAGAAAGTTATGTCAGACTCATAGAGGATGTGGGTGTCTGCTGTGATCCAGTGCCGCATGAAAAATGCAAAGAATTGCACAGACGTTAGATTGGAAAATATAGTTTACTTAACAAGTAAACTAGAGAGAGAGAGAGGAGATTCAAGGTAGAGAAGGGGCCAAAGCCAGGAAACATGGCGATGGCCATAGTGCAAAGAGCACACGGCCACACCAGAGTCCAGTAAGGCAATGGCGAATGGCTGCTCAAGGTTGAATGTTTTTAAACATTCCCCTGTGATGGGGGCAGGTCATTAAGGTGGTTGAGTGGTGGTCTCCTCCATGTCATCACCAAGGAGCAGGTAAGCACAGCTATTGATGTCAGGTGATGGGCAGCAGGCAGATGGGTGGGCTAGCCACATGACTGCTGCCATGGTGATGGGTCTGTCTGTATCACGAAGGTCAAAGAGCTGACTAGGTTAACCTGGGTCTTAAGGGTGGAGGCAAATATTTGAAATAGAAAAGCTAATTAATACAAAACAAACTGGAAAGGGGGGTTGCAAAACAATTATCAAAAGATACCTCTGAGAAACAGGTTCTGTCCTTGGCTAGTGATTTGAGGGTAAGTTAAGTGAACTGCTAGAAAAACATGAGATTTAGACAATGTTAAAATGGCTGCTCATTGGCCATATAAAGTCCACAATATGTCCTTTCAAGTATATAGAGTAATAAAACCCTTTCTGGTGAGTCCTCATTAGGTATTGCTCCCCAAGCCTCTTAGTTAGGAATTTAGATAAGAAGAACTAAAAAAAAAAAAAAAAAAAAAAGGCAAGTGTTAGTCCTCAGCTCCCCTTCTTAGCCAGCCTCATTCCTTAGAATGCATGTGTAGGCCAATAAAGTTAGAGGTCCCACATCTAGGAAGGCTCATTCCTAGGGTTCTCTATTCTGTTTACCTGGTGAGTTCCCTGGTGCTAGGAGGCAGATTCCTAGAATTGTATATTTGGTGACAATAGTGTCCGCATCAGTGATGCTGGCTTATGGGGAAGGACATGGTTTGACCTGATTTTATAGCCAATTGTTTAAGGGTGAGAGTCGGGCCTAGAGTTCAGTCTTTAAAAACATCCTTGATCAGATCTATTTTATCAGTTATCATGATCTGGGCCCTTGCTTTTGTCTATTTTCTTTTCCTGTGTCTGTCATAGCATTCGCAAGAGACATGTAATGATAACATAGAGATGAGTGTAAAGATGAGAGTTAATTCAGGGTTCATGAGAACTAGCCTGGTCTGATGTCCCTGGAAGGAGGCCTGCCTTGGTAGTTGGTAGTTGTTGTGGAGACCAGCTAGACCTCAGGTGTTTTGTTGTTGTTTTTTAGTTGGAGTCTCACTCTGTCACCCAGGCTGGAGTGCAACTTGATTGTCCAGGCTGGTCTCAAACTCTGGGTTCAGGCAATCCTCTCACCTCAGCCTCCCAAAGTACTGGGATTACAGTTTAACATAATAACTATTACTAATGATAACATATACTAAGACATATTAGAATTATAGGAACTTGATACCATTCATAATACATATGAGTAACACACATAGATATAACCGAGAGAAAATGAAACATCCTTTCATATGTGACAACGTTTTTTGGGTTTTTTTGAGTGGGCGTCTCATTCTGTCACCCAGGCTGGCGTGCAGTGGCAAGCTCATGGCCACTGCATCCACGACCTGACCTGCTGGGCTCAGGCAATCCTCTCGCCTCGGCCTCCCAAAGTGCTGGAATTACAGGCATGAGCCACCGCACCTAGCTCCCTATATAACATACCAAATCAGCCAAATGTTTCTCTTGGACTTCAGGGGAACCTAATATCTAACATTAGTGATGTCAAAGAGGCTAAGTATAGAAACTTAAATTTTGATTTTGGAAAGTCTGTCAAATATCAAAAGTTTAAAACATTTGCTATTACAACACAGGATTATAGGTGACTATAAATTAAGTAATTCATTTAGCCCAAATGACAATTTGATTTTTCTTTTTTTTTTTTGAGTTGGAGTCTCACCCTGTCGCCCAGACTGGAGTGCAATGGCCGCTCCAGGCCACCGCAGCCTCGACCTGCTGGGCTTCAGCGATCCTTCCACCTTAGCCTTCCAAGTAGAACTACAGGCACACGCTACCACACCCAGCTAATTTAATTTAAATATTTTTTAAAAGCAAAGTCCTTTGATAGAGGAGACTCATTTTCCTAAATAATAACAACTAAGAAAGACAGCATAAGGGCAACTGAATCTGCTTCATTTCTCTATAATTTTTTTCCAGAATATTCAAAAGGTAAACAAAGATCATTTTGTTATCTCCTGAAATTACAAGAAAATCTTGTTCAAAAGAGAAAAACCCAAGTTATCTCTGCATTTGTGTATTATTTTTTTAAAATAAAGAAAGCCGGGATGATGGCTCACGCCTGTAATCTCAGTAATTTGGGAGGTCAAGGCAAGTGGAATGTTTGAGCCCAGGGCTTCAAGACCAGCTTGGACAACTTGGCGAGACCTTGTCTCTACAGCAAATTTTTAAAATTGCCAGGCTCGATGGCTCAGCCTGTAATCCCAGCACTTTGGGAGGCCGAGGTGTATGTATGGATTGCCTGAGCCCGCAGGTTCGAGATCTGCCTGGGCAACTTGGCAAGACCTCATCTCTACAATAAATCAAAAAAATTTAGCCGGGTGTGGTAGTACACACCTGTAGTTCCAGCTATTTGGAAGGCTGAGGCGGAAGGATTGCTGGAGCCCAGCAGGTCGAGGATGCGGTGGCTGGGAGCGGCCACTGCACTCCAGTCTGGGTGACAGGGTGAGACTCCAGCTCAAAAAAAAAAAAAAAAAGCCGGGCTCGGTGGCTCAGCCTGTAATCCCGCGCCTTTGGGAGGCTGAGGTGAGTGGATTGCCTGAGCCCGCGGGTTCGAGACCCGCCTGGGCAGTGAGACCTCATCTACAATAAATCAAAAAATCAGCCAGGCGTGGTAGTGCATGCCTGTAGTTCCCGCTACTTGGAAGGCTGAGGCAGAAGGATCGCCTGAGCCCAGCAGGTCGAGGCTGCGG